TAAATTGTATGACAATTCTGGACTACCTCAGCCAAACCACGAGAATATGACGGGATCTAAAATTCTTCAACATTGTCTTTGCAAATATTCCTCAAAATGTTCAGTAACAGTCGATGAGCTCGATATCACGCTGTTCTATAACGTTGTCCAACATTGTTGTCCATTAAAGATGAATTTCATGTGGCGCAAAAATATCAAGGACGTGAGAAATTTCCTCGCACATGTGGCAAATGGTCAGGTTACAAAAGTAGATTTTGAAGATAACTGGAAAACACTGACCAGTGCCACTTTAGGTTTTGCTGGAGAGATTGGAAATAAATGCAAGAAAATGTTTCATGAAAAAATTTCAGAGATTGAAAATTCATCAAAAGATGCACTGAAAGAAAATCTGAAAAAAGTCAAATGAGGATGTAATCAAGGTAGTTTTTCTACATCACATGTCTTCTAAGGACTTACATATCCTTCAACCCCTCAAGTTCGTCCAACCCGCAAGTTCGTCCGCCTTCATTGTTTACATTTATCGCGCATGCGGAAGACTCGTGACGTCACTTTCCAGCTGAGCAGCGTTCTACATATAGTAAAGAACAACGTGGAAAAGCGAAACCAAAACATGAGGTTGAAACAGGTAAATAGTCATAAAAATAGAAAAATCTTTGTCAAAAACGCCATTTTTACTAAGTCCCTTTTCTATCTATCTTTAAATCGAATTATAATTGTAAAACACGGGGAAAATCCATTCCAAGCCCAGTTGCCGGTTTGTTTACATTCCAGTGATTACGACCCGTGACCTACAAAAGTATGACAGGCCAAGCAAACATTAAAATTGTAACTAACAAATATGGAAATTTTAAAGATTTTTTTGCACAGATTCTGAAAAATTCGGGAAAAATTATGAATTATCGCCATAAAATAGCTTCTACTGCCATATGTATTTCCCCCACAACATCATGGTTGCAAAAAAGGGTATGACTTTGTTAATTCCTGACCAATATTAACGATAGAGGGCTCAAAAGTTAGCTGAGAATTTGCACTTTACATACATTGATATACATATATACATATATACATATACACAATGTTAAAACAACAAATACAGCAATAAAACAGAAAGGCATCGCATTACATTTCAGGCAAAACCTACTTTCCTCAGGCATGATAAAAAGTATAGGCTGTACAGTCCCACGGCTTTGACTAATGCAGAACGGAATAAAGAAATTTCCCAAAGAAAGGCAGCTCTACAATTTAATGTCCCAAGGCAAACTCTACGTGATAGAATCACTGGAAAAATAAGTCCAGATTGTGTCACCACTGGGAGGGCACCTGTCTTTTCACTTAAAGAGGAGGCACAGATTGTGGAACATGTAAAGTCCATGGCTTCATATGGATATGGGTACACTAGACAAGAAGTTACAGATCTGGCTACTGATTTTGCCCACACAATCAATATTAAACCAAGAAATGAAGAACTTACCTTGAGATGGTTTGAGGGTTTCATAAAAAGATGGCTAGAACTTAGAGTGGTTAAACCTAGAAGTTTGGAGATTCAACGTGCAAAATGTGGTTCTGTTGCTAATGTTGAAAAGTACTTTGCAAGCTTAGAGCAAGTAGTTCACAAATATAATCTTCAGGATAAACCACATCTCATATTTAATATTGATGAGAAGGGTATAACACTGAATCATAAACTACCTAATGTTGTATCTGGAATTGAATGTAACACATCATCAGTAACATCTGGAAGGTCTAGTACTACGACCATACTTGGCTGTGGAAGTGCATCAGGATTTGCTGTACCTCCATATTTTGTATTTAAAGGGAAAAGGATGATGAATGAATTGATGAATGGAGCAACACCAGGTGCTGTTGGTGCAGTATCAGACTGAGGATTGTCCAATACGAACATATTCAGAAAATATTTGACTGACCATTTTCTTGAATATGTCCCTGGCAGAAACAATGATAACATACTTCTACTCCTTGATGGGCATAAGTCACATGTTGCAGTTGATATAATTGAATGGGCACAGCAACACCACATCATCATTTACATCTTACCAGCTCATACCTCACATATATCACAACCTTCGGATGTTGGATGTTATGGGCCGTTGCAACGTATTTATGATAATGAATGTCACAAAACCATGCGTCAGAACTCCTCAGTCATAACCAGATACAACATATGTGAACTAGCCTGCAAAGCATACCAGAAAGCACTAACCCCAGAAAACCTTCAGTCAGCATTTAGGAAGACTGGAATATACCCCATGGATAAAAATGTCATAAACAAAGATCAACTGAAACCATCAGAGGTATTTACAACAAATGGTGAATGCAAAGAAACTACGGATGAACCAAAAATAGATGATATACAAGTAGTTGAAGTTGATACGAATGCAGAAGTAACGGAAGCTGTTGAAAGTGCTGTGACTGATATTTTAGTTGTTGAAGATTTGCAAGATCATGATGTTACTGTTCCACACTTCTTTGCTGAAAGAATAAACAAACTAAAGAAAATTAAGTCCGAAAATGTTTCGATTGTATAAATGGACAGTAAATGTCTTTACTTTCGATATATTTTATCTTATTCTAGTTTAATGAACAATCATTAATTGTTTGTTTAAATTAAAGAGCAAACGTCTATGTTGACCAGATTTATCACAAGTATTAGTAGAGATAATTCTATAACAACCATTATTAATATTTTTAAGTTATCTCCGGGTTTTGACTTACATGAACAACGCAAAGTGTGCCTCATATGGAGTAAGATCGTCATACCTTTCTGGAGTAATCTGAGATCAACCCCTGTTTTGGTCAGATTTTTGTAGCTCAGTCTTTAGTTTTCTATGCTATGTTTTATATACTGTTGTACTTCTCTAGATCGTTTTTTGTTTTTCGCCATGTCATAGTTCGTTGTCGACTTACCAGTTTGATTATCCCTTTGATATCTTTAGCTAATCTATTATTGAACTTTCCTCATATCTAACAGAACTCGGGGGCCTCGGTGGCCGAGTGGTCTAAGTAGTTACTACTGCAATTACTAGCCAGTCAACACTGAGGTTGTGAGTTCGAACCCCGCTGGTGCGGGTGCACTCGACTCCAATTTTAATTAACTAGGATTGTCAGTTTTCCTATCGAAGGTCGGTGGTTTTCTGCGGGCACTCCGGCTTCCTCCGCTAATAAAAACTGGCCGCCACGAAATAGCCCAAAAATCGGTGCTTAAAAGTGGCGTTAAAACATCAAAAATCAAATCAAATCTAACAGAACTCCTTGAAGCCGAACTAAGCAAAGAAGTGAACAAAGACCAACTAGGTTAGGGTTGAAAGACAACATTGTGACATGTGAACATTGCACAAAGGGTTTTAGTTGCACAAAATGCACGTCAAACATGAACCACATTAGGAGACTGGAGCAAGCGCTTAAAATGAAGGATAACACAATTCAAAGTGAATTTGTGTTCTTAACAGTGACTTCATATACAGGAGTGTGCGTCTTCCTTACGCAGAAACTGCTCCAACAGAGTTATTAGGAGGAAAGATTAAAAATGACTCTCCGTAACTTTTATGGACACCATCATGAATCGGTTAATCTATACGATGTGTCAGTGTCTAAACTAACTAATGACATTTTTACCACGTCTTAGATTGTGATTTAACATCTTTGTCGTCTGTCTGCTAAGTACCGAACGTGACCTATTCCCGAATATGACTGTTATACCGAGTGTGAATTTGCATTGCTATACGACGTGCCACTGTATTTTGTAACTCAACTCTGGCGATAATTGGTCAATCATACCCCAAGTTTATCTAAACAAATTTGGTAAGAACCTTTTGATATTTAAAATGAACATTATAAATGTTAGACAAACAATTATTTAAAACCTTTCCTGAGTTCTATCAGCAATTGATAAAAACTTAATGTAAAGGGTGGACAGACAAAGATCCCACAAATTTTTCTAGATATAAGAAAGCAGATTTTATAAGGCAATCATAACATACAAATAAAAGGATAATACTTATTGTTTACTAAATGGATTGAACATAATATTCTGTATGTTTGCTTAATGACATACTTAATAAGAGAGGTCATATATCAGAAAATAGAATATTACTTAAACTAAAAGATAAACGAGATTGGATAAGAGAATTGATAAAGAAAGCTACTCCAAAACATTGTGCAGAATATTTTAAAGCAAGAAAGCTAATTTAAAACAAAAGTACATAATATGTTATAAAGAATACCAAAAATCTGCAAATACTACTCAGTCATAGTATCTATCTAGAAATAAGTAATAAAGAAATATATTCAATATTATTTGCCCCTCATAAACAAGTAAAACCTGTTGGTTTTCTTAGTGGGAAAGAATTGTAAAAGACAATTTGAACATAAAATTTAAAAACACTCTTAATTTTATATTTAAATACCTAGATAACAACACATTTAAAATGTTTAAATGGAAATTACTTCATTTCATCCATCCATGCAATGCATTATTAGTTCAGTGGAAAGTATAAGAAAACAGTTCTTGCAATTTCTGCAAAGAAATTGACAGTTTTAAACATTTTTTTCATAACATGCCCTTATAGTTATCAAAAGTACCGGGCTTATTATTTGATGCGCCTTATGATACTAAATACTGACAAGAAATATATAAACTACTACTTTATCGTCAAATAGACAGACATATTCTACAGTAGGACAACCGGAAGCGCCTGAGTATTGATTTCGGTGCTCAGTGATACGGTTCACTAGACGACGTTGTCAACACGTAATGGCGGCCATTGTTTGACGTTGGATTTGACATTCCACGCTGTAAAGATGCATTTATGACATTCTTGGATGTTAAAACTTAATGCAACACAACATAAAAGGTAAAGGATTATTTCAGATATACCGACTTTATTATTTTCAAATAAGTGGGATCCTAAAAAATGATTTAACGGCAAAAATAAAGTGTAAAATTATATTAAACATGAAAATTGAAAACCCAATGTTCATCATTTCCTTTTCATATATTGAATACACTATTTACACCAACCACTGGTGAATTATATTCGGATTTCGGTCTTAGGTATCCGTCCTTGTCTCCGGGAATATTATACCCACACAAGTTGTCAACATCCGTTTTCAAACTGTTCAAAGTGTTCTTCACAATCTCACTGGAAAATATTCACGCTATCACTTCGTGCTCAGATAATAGAACATTGTAAACCTCTAACAGCAAATACGGACCAAAATTAATCAATTTTGAAAGCACGGATGATCACGTGTAATGCCGACTGTAAGTTCTCTAAAAAGGGGGGTAATTTCTCCCCCAAATACACATGAATTTTGCTGACCGTCTCAAATTCAACTCAAAAGTCCATTATCAAATCAGAGGCGGATTTAATGGGGGCCAGGGGGCCCGGGCCTCCCCTTTTGTGGGAAAAATTTGGTTGATTATATAGGGAATCACTGACGCATGACTGGAGTGGGGCCCCCTCTTAGGCAGTTAGTGGGCCCCTCTTATTAAAATTTCTGGAACCGCCACTGCAAATCATTAGAATGTAAGACATATTCACTTCAACTGTTGGCTATTTTATAGCTGGTCTAATATTAATAGATTCGTCCCATTTCATATACACCAAAATTTAATATTTAAAAAAACTTTCATTTTTACATTAACATATAATACAAAGGGAAATCAATCACAAGCACTTGTTTCTGACAATGGGGGGTTCACTATCCATTCTCGTACGAAAATTTTTATTTTTATGTGGGTGGGTGGGTAGGAGGAATTTAAGGGGACATTATATTCATTTTTCTTATTTTGCTATTATGATCTATTATGGCTTATTAATTTTTTTTTCAATCTGTACACAATTGTTCTTTCCTTTTTATTGGACAGAATATTCATGTTCATCCTGTGTCAGCACTCTTGAGCAATGTTTATTTTATGTTCGGTTATTACCATGATTACATGGACATGTACCAGATCTTTCCCATAAAAAAATAATTAAGATAGCCATCCTCTAAATCATATCTCTGAAATTATAAAAGAAATTTATCCATTGAAATTAACCAATCACCCACCCATTTGAAAAGCTTGTACACATGCTGCTTTGCATAATACATGCATCCCCAGGAACTAATTACAATTTCTTAATACATGTTATATTCTTCCAATGATTATATACACAATCTAATTAGAAATGATAATCCATTAACAATATTACTTTCTCAAACTTCATTAATACTGTCAAATTCAAGGTGTCAATTTAGTGACAATACAGTCATGACAGTGGAGGTTCCAGGATTTAAATTAAAATAAAACTGGGTTGTGAGTGCCCCCAAAATGTATAAAACTTCAGCTTGCATTGTACAATGGACATGTTATGATCTTATGATGTTTAAGCAAACTATTAAATATACAAATGTTATAAAAAGGTTTGGTATAACATAAATTTGCTCCTTGTTAAACCTAAAAATTATTTTTCAACACTTTTGAAATGTTTTCTTTGTCTGAAACCTTTATGTACTGTATTGGGCAAAAATGCTGGGGGCATAATTATCAATAATACTTAATAAATACAAGTACATGTATTTTCTTGCTAATTTATTTGGCAAATTTGTATTCATGTGTTGATAATAACAATGCAAAGTTTAATTTTGCTTTGAATAATTTAGTACATGTATATATACATTAATAGTAATTGTATGTAAATTTGCTTTATATTTCATGTATTTACAGGATGGAGAAAGATGTTCACTATGGATCAATAATTCAAAACAGAGGACCTTTTTATTAAAACAAAAATACTTGTATATGTATGATATTCTGTACATACAACAAGAAAACAGTAATCAAATGGAATGTCCAGTATTGTTGAAAGCAAAATTATTTTTGTTAACAGAAAACAATAGGACTGCAATATATTAAGGGTAAGTAATCCAAAATTGTCTGTTTAGGGTTACAAAAGTGGGTTATTGACAATGTGCTATGATTTCAATCCCCCAAATATGAAACAAAAACATAATACACATGGTATTAAAACTGTTTTCATAAGGAAACAGACTAAAAATATTCTGCATTTAACAGTCAGACATGAAAGTTGCCAATGGAATAAATTGGGACTGGAACTTAAAATTTATAGGATATAGGCCAAGGAATCGTTCAGACTTTAAGGCCAAATGGTATACTTTTAATAGTTTAAAGATTTTATTCTAATATCTATGCTGTATAAATGTCAATATTGTTTCATTTGGATTTAAAACCTAATTTCAAGAATGAAGGGTACAGTAATTAAGTCTCCCAAACGAAGTTTGGGAAGACTTATTGGTTTTGCTCAGTTATTATGTCACCTGATCGACAATGTCGGGTGACATTGCTTTTCCTCTGTTTCTTTTTCCCTTTTATTATTATTATTATTATTTTTTTTTTCTTCCACCTAATTTTGTCCGCCAGTTTTCTCAGAGCCAAAGGAACCAATCTAAATGATGGTTCACTATAAAAAGGAACCCTGACTTTCGAGTTGCAGTGCAACTTTGGAACTAAAAAATGGCTGCCATCACCATGGAAACTGAAAAAAGGTGAAAAAATTATTTATTTGAGTTTGGTTAATAATTTGAGAATGCTTAAACTTAAAATCATTAAATTTTAAGTCAATGTAGTTGTCCACTATATACAGGTTTTGGCTGATTTTGACAATCATTTGAACTACTATGTTGCCATGGAAACTACTCCAAAAATTTCAAAAATATCAAAATGCTCCAAATTTAATGAAACTTCACAGTAACGATGAGCAACATTTGTAGATGTGGAATTTGGCATTTGAATTTCTAAAATGGCTGCCGTTACCATGGAAACAATGGGAAAATGGTAAAAATGCTCCAAAAACCTTAAAGAAGCATTTACTTTCTTAAAATAGTATGTCAAATCCATTGAAATTTTAATGGTATGTTCCCTCTAATGTACCAATGTGGCATCTGTCATTAAATTTTGGGAATGGTCTCTGTTACCGTAGAAACCAGCAAAAATGGTAAAAATTTCAAAAATTTCAAAATGCTCCAAACTTAATGAAACTTCTAATGATTGTTACCTGGCAAGGTAAGATGAGACTTTTTACTTTGGAATTTCCAAAATGGCCACCGTTGCCATGGAAACTGCAAAAATGTCAAAATATTTTAAATGATCAAAAAAGCTCTAAATGTTTTGAAAATTTACTGAAAGATGTATAGCCATGCAAATATATGCATTCTCTGTTTTAAATATTCGAAATGGCTGCCGCTTAGTGGCAGTGGGGGAAGGGTGACATCCGCTATTGCTTGCAATGGCAAATCTAGTTATTATTATTCTTCTTCTTCCTCTTCCGCCGCTTTTAAATTTGAACTTGTCCGCACCCGTTCTCCAAAACCGCTTGTCATATTAACTTAGGGTTTCACAATATGCTAGACTAACATGTCTATTGGTGCAATCAGGGTTTTGTTTGTGCATTGGGGTTTATAAAGGGGTACTTTGAGGGGCAAAAAGAAAGGAGGGTTTTACTATAGAACCCTATGGGATTTTATTTTTTTTAATTTTCAAATGATTATAAATTGAAAACCGTTTGTGATAGACACAATCTTTTTAATTGAAAATGTTCTAAATGATAAAGCACATTAAATGAAATACAGGGTTAGTCCCCAGGGGTCACCCCACCCCCTGCCATTTAAGAAAGTTCTAATATCTTGTAAGTGGTCGAGATCCTTACCCCTAAACCATATATATTCTGGTTTGTCATGCTAAGATGGTTTGAATGATATACAGGGTTAGTCTCCAGGGCTCATCCTGACCCCCTGCCATTTGAGAAAGTTCTAATATCTTGTAAGTGGTCTAGATCCCCACCCCTAAACCATATATATTCTGTTTTGTCATGCTAAGATGGTTTGAATGATATACAGGGTTAGTCCCCAGGGGTCATCCCGACCCCCTGCCATTTGAGAAAGTTCTAATATCTTGTAAGTGGTCGAGATCCCAACCCCTAAACCATATATATTCTGGTTTTTCATGATAAAGCACATCAAATGAAATACAGGGTTAGTCCCCAGGGGTCACCACCACCCCCTGCCATTAAAGAAAGTTCTAATATCTTGTAAGTGGGCAAGATCCTCACCCCTAAACCATATATATTCTGGTTTGTCATGCGAAGATGGTTTAAATGATATACAGGGTTAGTCCCCAGGGGTGACCCCCACCCCCTGCTATTTAAGAAAGTTCTAATATCTGTAAGTGGTCAAGATCCCCACCCATAAACCATATATATTCTGGTTTGTCATACCAAGATGGTTTGAATGATATACAGGGTTAGTCCCCAGGGGTCATCCCGACCCCCTGCCATTTGAGAAAGTTCTAATATCTTGTAAATGGTCGAGATCCCCACCCCTAAACCATATATATTCCTGTTCATCATGTCTCGAACATTTGAATGACGTATATGGTCAGTCTTTAGGGGTTCCCCCCACCCCCAATGTTCTAATATCTTGTAAATGGTCGAGATCCCCACCCCTAAACCATATATATTCCTGTTCGTCGTGTCTCGAACATTTGAATGTTGTATAGGGTCAGTCCCCAGGGGTTCCCCCCACCCCCAATGTTCTAGTATCTTGTAAATGGTCGAGATCCCCACCCCTAAACCATATATATTCTGGTTTGTCATGCAAAGATGATTTGAATGATATACAGGGTTAGTCCCCAGGCATCACTAATGCATATAACTTGACTGGACCAAACCAATTATTACTGGACTTTGTCCAATGTCAGGCGACACTGGGAATTACGAATTATGGGAGCTTCGTTTGGGAGACTTCGTAACAGCATCCTGTTACAATCATTTCTTGTTTAAAATTAATTTAAATGATTAAAAACAATATATGGGAAGTAACTCTTACAAGATGTGCATTGTATCCTAATGAAGTGTTTTAATGAATTTGTCTATTTTTATACTTTTGCGGTCGTATATTGGTACATGTATGATGTTGGCGTCTCAGTCATAGTCCGAAGACACATTGGTTTTCGCACTATAACTTTAGTTTAAGGGAATGGATCTCTATGAAATTTTACCATAAGGTTAAATACCACAAAAGAAAGGTTGGGATTGATTTTGGGGGTGATGGTACCAACAGTTAAGGAATTAGGGGCTAATAAGGGGCCAAAAATAAGCATTTTCTAGTTTCCAGACAATAACTTGTGGAACGGTGTATGGATCTTTCTGAAATTATACCACATGTTTCCTTACCACAAAGGGATGGTTAGGATTTTTCTTGGGGGGTTATGGCTCAAACCGTTTAGGAATTAAGGGCAAAAAAGGGGGAAAAACAAGGTTGTCCTGGTTAATGGACAAATACTTTAGTACAAAACATAATTTAAAGCAGTGTAAAGGAGATAAATCAAATACATCATTTGAATTACCTCCCTTACACTGCTTTTAAATTATGTATAAAGTAATGGTTAATGAACAATTAAGACAATTTAAAACAGTGTAAGGGAGGTAATCCAAATACAACGTTTTGATTACTTCCCTTACACTGCTTTTAAATTATGTTTAAAGAAATGCATATTTATAAAGGAAGACCAGTAAAAATATCTGCAAATGTTGCATCTTTTTTTTTTATCAATTTTTTCTCATTTCAGATTTCAGAAATTAAAAAGAATTATTCTTCAAATATTATTTTTTTTTCAAATTTCAAATATTGAAAAATTTCAAGAAGTAATCTTTAATTGCACAGTATGGTGCATTAGATTTGTAAAATCTTTGACCACATTTATTTATTTGTTATGCCGAATCTGATCATTTTTCAGATTTTTAATTTTGGGTCCAGTTTTCAAATTGGTCTACATTAAGGTCCAAAGGGTCCAAAATTAAACTTAGTTTGATTTTAACAAAAATTGAATATATGGGGTTCTTTGATATGCTGAATCTAAACATGTATTTAGATTTTTGATTTTGGGCCCAGTTTTCAAGTTGGTCCAAATTGGGGTCCAAATTAAACGTAGTTTGATTTCAACAAAAATTGAATATATGGGGTTCTTTGATATGCTGAATCTAACCATGTATTTAGATTTTTTGTTTGTGGGCCCAGCTATCAAATTGGTTCATATAGAGATCAAAAGGGTCCAAAATTAAACTTTGTTTGATTTCATCAAAAATTGAATTATTGGGGTTTTTTGATATGGCAAATCTAACCGTGTATTTCGATTTTTAATTTTGGGTCCCGTTTTTTAAATTGGTCTACATTAAGGTCCAAAGGGTCCAAAATTAAACTTTAGTTTGATTTTAACAAAAATTGAATATATGGGGTTCTTTGATATGCTGAATCTAACCATGTATTTAGATTTTTTGTTTGTGGGCCCAGTTATCAAATTGGTTCATATTGAGGTCAAAAGGGTCCAAAATTAAACTTTGTTTGATTTCACCAAAAATTGAATTATTGGGGTTCTTTGATATGGCAAATCTAACCGTGTATTTAGATTTTTAATTTTGGGTCCCGTTTTTTAAATTTGTCTACATTATGGTCCAAAGGGTCCAAAATTAAACTTAGTTTGATTTTTAAAAAAATTTAATTCTTGGGGTTCTTTGATATGCTGAATCTTAACATGGGTGTTTAGATTTTTGATTATGGGCCCAGTTTTCAAGTTGGTCCAAGTTGGGGTCCAAAATAAAACTTTGTTTGATTTCAACAAAAATTTAATACATGGGGTTCTTTGATATGCTGAATCTAACCATGTATTTTGATTTTTGGGCCCCGTTATCAAATTGGTCCACATTGAGGTCAAAAGGGTCTAAAATTAAACTTTGTTTGATTTCATCAAAAATTGAATTCTTTGGATTCTTTGATATGCTGAATCTAACCATGTATTTAGATTTTGGATATTGGACCATAATAGGTAAATTAAAAAATTTTAAGTTCTTTGACCACATTCATTCTGTGTCAGAAACCTTTGCTGTGTCAAATATTTAATCACAATCCAAATTCAGAGCTGTATCAAGCTTGAATGTTGTGTCCATACTTGCCCCAACTTTTCAGGGTTAGACCTCTGCGGTCGTATCAAGCTGCGCCCAGCGGAGCATTTTATTTCAGATAAGAGAATGACTTAAGCAGACTGTATTGGGGTCATAGATGGCCATAACAATGAAATACAATATATTATAATTATCATTCTTCATTACGTTTTGATTGAACTAACAAACTTAATTTAATAACAAAATATTTTCTTTTTTTCAGTACACAACACATGGTGTCCGAAGAATAATTTTACTGAATGATAAAAAATTTAATACCTGGAATCAGCAATTTACAAAATGTATATGAAATTTATTAAGAGAGATATATTCATGTACAGAATGGTAACCCCACCAAATAACCCAGGTGGTTCAAGTGATTATTAGCAGACATTTTTGTTGAACTAATGCAGGATTAAATAAATGAAGCTTTAGCAGACTATGGTCTCCAAAGTGTAGTATAAAAAAGAGGATTTTTAAATATGTGAGACTCATCAACATTAAAATGTGCATAAGTGAAATGTTACAATATTTAGTAAAAAATTCAGATTATTGACTCAGTTGTGTTCATGAAATTTTTTATCAAAACAATATCACTGTTATATAATTAATAAGATTCCATATGTTCTATTTTATACTTTTGACAACCGAATATATCTTCCCTCTGGCCTCAAGTGTTTCCCTTTTATTTTGTATGAGTGTAATTTACAGAAAGCTCACTTTGCTTAAGGCGAATTCACGTTTTGCCTTTCCAGAATTATTGGACTTTATTCATGGAAAATTAGACATTTACCCATATGTTGTAGAAGAACTCAATTTTGCTTTAATACTTTTTCAAGAATTTGTATCACAAGGCTAGATTTGATCAAATAATCTCACTTTTGAATATTTATCACATATCACATACTTAAATAATCTAGTATGCTTAGATTGATTTCCTTCACTTTTGCCCTGTTGTTGAGATTGAGTGAAATAATTTAATTATTTTATCCCTATCAATTTGGGGTGAGGATCTGTGTCCCATCGGGACCGACATTCAACACTGCATAACTATATCCTATCACAAGTTATGATACAGCCAACCATATAACATAGCCCCTGCCACTGAAATGAGAAAAGAGGTGCACAACATACAAAAAAATATTTCATATGGCTAGCTTCATTGTATCCTTTGAATATTTCATTGATTTTTTGTCAGTAGTTATTTATTAAAGGTACTACAGTTCCCTTTCAGTTTGCCTGCTTAAGACTTGATTACAGTTCCAATATAAAAATAAGAAGTTGGAGTATGATTGCCAATGAGACAACTCTCCACCAGATACCTTATGACGAAAAGGTTAATAAATATATGTATAGGTCTCTGACAGCCTTCATCAATGAACAGAACTAATAACCCATAGTAAGCTACATATATACAGTAAAAGGTCCCTAAATAACATGACACAATAGAGGCTGAAAATGAATATTCTGCATCAGTGAGTATGCAAAAGTGAAAATATATTTAGAAAGAAAAGCATGTGTAGCAATGGATGCAAATAAAAAGTCAATCCAGAAAAAAATCCTACTACATCGCACGTTATGGCTTATGCAGTTTATTCACTAAATTAACAACTTTTACATACTTCATTCAACTAATTTACATTAAACCTGGGAACAGTATATCTGTCAATATATATATGTTCGTGATTAAACAAGACAAAATAAAAGAAAAGAACAGGGCGAATTGGTAACAGGGCAAAAGGACCAAGAGCGAACAAGTACTAGTGCGAACAGACCAGGATTCCCTTCCCACCACCTACCTAGAATAGCAAATGGTCCTCCCCATATGCATAGATATAGTAATACTAGTCTAATAGTCATTATACATGTTATACCAATGCCCTAAGAAACTGCACATTGAATTTTTAAAAAATAAAGTCATGAAGAGTTTAAACCAACACTGCAAACCAGATATTAACAATTAATAAAATGACACATGCCTTTGACAAAATTAACCCCCCCTTTTTTTCAAAAAAGAAACAAAACAAAACACATAACGATAACTGTATTAACGAAAGGAAACTTATGAAAAAAAAAACGATAGCTTTTCTATGGCCTATTCAGGTTAGATGTTCATAAAAAACTCATCGGCCGGTAACATACTAACAATAATCACGAAATAAATATGGATCAACGAAGACGACGTACGATATCAAAAAATCAATCCCATGATGATGTAGGCCTAAAACTGTTAGTTTACCAAGCTCGGCCTGTTTTGGTATAACGTTGATATGAATTCAACATATCGCATGACTTCCTTTGCATTCAGATAAACAAAATTGCTACAAAGAAGTAAAGAATCCAACTTTTAATGACATTTACGGCGCCGGAAATTGAAAACGTTGGTCTATATACTGACACAACATCGGTTGAGGTCGATTCCGGCAATTCTGCTTCAAAAAATCTTTAGCAGTTAGAATTTATTGATGTCTTAAAATATATTTGTTATGTTTCAATAAATTTTAGTGGATAAATATTTTTGAGAGAAGGATAGCTATCGTGTACTTCAGAAACAAGGTTAAGGGAGGACCACGCACCCATAGTGGGGACATACAAAATAAAGATGACCGTTCTCCATTTCTACTCGATAGAAATGCCTAATTTTTTCATAACATATACATTATGTACCAAAGATTATTATATGAAAGTATAAAAAAAATCGAGGCGGAGATTTTTATAGAAACATCTAATAATTATAGCAGACCAATAGACGTAATAGAAAAATAGACGAAAATGGCGCCTTCTTCAATTTCGAAAAAAATCTATAATTTTACAATTTATGGACACATATTATTATTTTTAAAGGAGTTAAATATCTAAGGATTCACCTTTTCATGACAGTTGAATGAATATTTACTTTAAAAACAGAAATTGTTCCAATTATTAAATTATCGACCTTGCAAGGAAAAACCTATAAAAAATTGAGACCCCTACTTTAAAATGGGTACAAATTTTTGCCCTGGCTTGAACACCCCTGTTCTTTACGAATTTCGATGCCAAAAACTAGCGAGAATAGGATGTTAAAATTTTTAGAAAATCGAAGGATATGTATTTTTTTGTACCCATTTCTAATATCGCTATTTAATTCTACAGTGCATAAAATCAAAATCCGAAATTCTATGTTCAGATATAAAAAAAATAAGATTTCCTTTTATTTTAATGTTCTAAAATGAAAATAATATGTAAACTCGTATATTTTTCTCTTAAAGATATACTTACAATCAACAGTATTTACCGTCGGTACTTTGCCGTAAGCGAATGAAAAAAAAATACAAAAGCGCGCCATTTTTCAGTTGACGTCGGCCGACGCAAAATAGTCCAATTTTCGGCGTAGGACTACTGAGCGCCGCCGAATCACATTTTAGCCAAAAAGGCACATCCGGTTGTCCTACTGCTAAGGCTAGAAAATTTAATAACTGGCTATAAAATATGAGATATAAAATATTTTGATATAAACGCCCTCATAACAGTTATATTTGACTCTATATATAAGGCACATTTTATTTAAAAAAAAATAAGATAGAAAAGGAAATAAACGACATTATAAAATTAAATGCGATAAGAAATATCGAAACCGAAAAAATATTATTTAAGTTATCGACATATTGTAACTTGTATGTAATATTTGTTATGCGTATGTTTGACAAATCAACACATGCTGCTTTCCGTGTATAAATAATATGCCACGACGTGAAAAAAAAATGCATCGCAAATAACCTCTTGATTTGTATTTAACATATTTTTGTACACTTATCTCTATATTTATTTCCATTAGCATGGTAAAAAATGGAAGTTTGAAAAATAAATCATTCAAATTATAAAAGAATAAGTAAATTCCAATTACACAGGTATCATGTGAGAAAGTAAACATACACAATAACCACAAAACGTTACGGTGTATATCCGTTATTTTTTTCCGATTCATAAGCAGACAAAATAAATCAATGAATCAGTTTATATTGATGTTTATTTATATTGTTTATTCTGTTTAACTGTATAATTCTAACATTGATTATATATATTTTATTATATATTCTCCCTGGATATATAGTAATTTACACACAGGGTAACTTAGCCCAATGCTGTTAGCTAAGTAAATTGTTAAACAGCATTTAGTGCAATAAAGATGATTTAATTGTTTCAAAAAAATTTTGACCAAGCCAAACCCAATGCTAAGATCGTATGTGAAAACACTCATAGAAATTATGTAAACAGCTTGTACAGGTTATGCAAATGTATAACCCCAACAGGTATGTCCGAGTACACAAGTTTAGTTTCAAAGAATAAATGCTGATATTTGTTATGATCAAGTGGTAAATGGTTTTGCTTGATGTACGAATATATGGACTTAACTGTGTGCATTTCTTAAACTTAAGTTCATGTATTTAATTTACAAGTTGTTCTTACCATTTCTAAATTATCCATTTCTTTCTAATACAGATGGGTGCGGTCCTAAACTATACAAAAGTTAATTTTGAGCAGACTTGTTGACTGCTTTTCAAGTTAACTAGGGAAATTTTAATCAGACAAGCAAGTTAACTTTGTCGTTGGTAGACCAGACCTACGGTCTTCTTTTGTAAGACAGCTGCAGAACTATTGACAGGTCTGCTCAAGACCAAACCTGTGGACAAGTCTGCCTTTGACCAGTCCTGAGGACAGGTCTGCATCAGACCAGACCTGTGGACAGGTCTGCTCCAGACCAGACCTGTGGACAGATCTGCTCCTGACCAGACTTGTGGACAAGTTTGCTATTGAACAGACCTGGTAACAGGTCTGCTTATGACAGATTACCGTGTTCAAGACTTTTGATTTTAATATGTAAACAATAATTGCATTGTTCTTTTTTTTTCCAGTATAGCAAATTTCTTTACTCGTTAGACGCTATCGATATTATACACATTAAACATTTTTATTTTCATTTCATATTCTTATATACATTAAACAATGGCTATAAAATTACACACTTGTGATCACATACAGCTATCATTAAAGAAAGGACAGTTTTTGTTTAATTAGAAGGCGGATAGAAAGGTTATCCAACGTATCGGAACAATATTCTTATGTCATGGGATATCAACATCATTGTCGACGTTGCTTCGTTCCCCAATTTTCACAGTCTCTTCCTAAATTTAACTTTATGCATTACATGGATACTTCATCGTAATTCACCTTGTTTACCTTGGATTTAAGATTCTGTTTTCGACAAAATATTCTAACGAAAATTGTACAGTGTCCGGATACCTAAACAATTTCGTCAGATTTGTCCTTACCGATTAAAAATGATGATATGGGACTTCCAAAAAATATACTCGTTGTGCACATGAATGAAATAGTTCTTCTTGAGGTTTAGCTACAAACAATATCAATCAACCGACATAATGTACTAACAGTATACTATTCCCAGAAGAGAACTTCTTATACTTTTTATTATAAAGTAAAAATGAAATCAGACATGTCATTGTTGGATGATGCTGTCAAATAGTTTTGTTATAAACACCATCCTGAACTACTAACTTTAGTGATGGTCTAATATTATGAATACAGAGATGAAATGCTGACAATCTAAATTGATGTGGAAAAGATATAGCATTTATTATTTTCCAATGTTGCTTTCATTTGTATTATAATATCACATAAAAAAACTTCTGATTGAATATAATGCAGCCATATAGATTTGCATACTAAAGTACAAATAATGTCAGTTTTAGTTAATACGGTCAAAAAATTTTGCTATCCCAGTCAGCCTGAGGTATCAAAAGTACTTAAATTTTGTTACATATCAATATATTGAACAACAGGAGGACATGCTGGCACTCTAAATTTATGCGGACAAAGTTTTGTATTCATTGTGTTCCAATATAACTGTCATTTGTATTATACATTAAATCCTGACATAAAAATATTACTTGATTATTATGCGGCTATAAAGATTTACATAATTAAGTGCAAATATGGTCAGTTTTGGTTGATACGGTCTAATAATTTTGTTATAGGAGTCAACTTGATGTATCAAAACTACTGAAATTTTGTTGCGAGACAATATTTTGATTAAAAAGAGGACATGCTGGCAATTTAAATTTATAAGAACAAAATTTTGTATTCACATTATGTTCCAATATTGCTGTCATTTGTACTATAAAATACATCCTGACATAAAATATTATTGAATTATTATGCGGCTAAATAG